CATATGATGTTAGGTGTAGCAATAATGTAATTATATATTCTTAAAACTTAAAGCAACTCTTATTGGCCATTTAAACTGTTCCACCCCTTAAAAATCACCCCATACTGAAAAGAATCATTCAAATGATTACAGTTCTGTGTAATTTGAAAGTCATGTGGACAGCTGAAATTGATTTTATCTTGTCTTCTTTTACTAATGTGTTGTTTCTTATGAAATATATAAGATTATTTAATTTTGGATGATTAAAATATTAGGGAGAAGGCAGAATGTTAAGTTAAAGAGCTATACCAAAAGGACTTGCTTCTACTACATGATTCTTGGGTAATATCTGCAGAGAAGATATTTGAGAGGCAGTTCAAACACACACACAATCTTTACAGAATTAATTCCTATTTCTCATACTTTCCCGAAACGATTTAGACAGTTTACTGTCTTTGTATGCATGTTAGAGAAAGCTTACTTTAGAAGATGTGTATACATGGTACACTACATACTTAGTATGTTAGAGGCCCTGGGTTCAATCCATAGCTCACACAAAATGGTATGTTTAAAATGATGACAACAGCTTTGTATTGGGGAGCTGATTGATAACTGAAATCAGAAATGCAGGCTAGTATTGCGATTGAGGACTGAATAGAAGTTTTTAGTCAGCAAGAGAAGAGGGGGAATATTTTACAAAATAAAGAGAAACAATTTTTACCAGAAATAGCACATCGAGTAGCTAACTTGACATAATAAATAACAAGTAATTTAGGATAAATAACCGTATCTTTTGATAAATTCAACAAGATGGCCAATGTCTTCATTGACAGGTATCTATTTCATTTTAAAATTAGACTTTAGTATTCTACAAAAAAAAAATTTTCATGTTATATGCCTGAGTGGTGGTATCCCAGCACTCAGAGCTGGGGCAGGAGGATTCTGAGTTCCAGAGCAGCCTAAGATACAAAGTGAGTTCAAGGCCAGCCTGGATAACTTTAACAAAATGCCTGTTGCTATAAAAACATTTCTATGGGAAAACAATGTAGTCCACATATTCTTTGACAATGACTGTCTTGACAGGCATAAAACAGAACATTTAGAAGAGTGGGCAGAGATTATTCTCTCTAGAGATGCTCACATTTACAAGACCAATACTTTAGAAAGAAGGCAAACAAGCCGGAAATTTAACACTGAGGGTTGGAGAGATGACTCGGTGGTTAGGAGCTCCTGTTGCTTACATGCATCCACGATTCCAGTTCCAGATTATCCTCATGAGTACGAGTTCCACACATGGTGCACATACATACATAAATGGAGGCAAAACACTCATATACACAAAATTAGATAAATCTTCAAAAATTAACATCGAATGATCATCATGGCAGGAAGCATAAGACAGATGGCAAAGCCAACACTCCTCTTTGAAAACTAGAGTATCCTAGCTCGTATCCTCATAGGCCATCCCATTGGCTCTTAGGCAAAGCCAACATTCTTTCCAGAATATAGCACAGGTTTCTCCTAGGACCAACACAACTGTTCAGCAGATATCTCAGTTTTTGCTCCACTTAATAAGAACTTCATACAAAGTATGGCCTAAGCCAAAATGAAAGGATAAAATGTTCATCATAAACTTAAAATCAACCAACAGATAGCAAATACACCTCTTGTTCCCTTCTGCTTCTCAGTCAGTAAATCACAATGCTCTGTGGAACTGCCCTGATCCAGGCAGATTATCAATCCATTCTTTGAACTGCTACCTTGGTTCTCAGTACCTAGGGGACTCTAGACTTTTCTCTGTATACTTTTACAGAGCTCTGGTTTGATAAGATGTTTTTAGAACAAGAGAAGCCTAAAGCTCCCTAAGAGACCGGCTTAAATTTACTACCAGCCCCATCCCTCACACCTCCAGGGATTTATCTGTTAAGATTTGACAGGGCTAGCTTCCTTCAAATTCCCCTGGTGGTTCCCAGGGAGATCTCAAAGGCTGACAAGTTTCACACTTATTTAATGGCCACTAGTACCTAAAGATGGAAACTGAGAACTTCTTTAAACAGTTTACATCAAAGTTCATAATAATCTTCATCTTTAATATTCCTTTCACATACAATGATTTAAAATTCTTAACAAGAAAATTATGCTTTTCTCATTATGCCTATATGGAAAATGTTTCTCCTATAATCCTGGATCTATGCTGTATGTCTAATTAAAGAATATGTTGGAGATGGGGGAATAAAATGTACATATGCCAGATACATAGTCCATGTGTCAAAGTCAAAAGTAAAATGCATCCATACCATACATATCAAAGGAAAGGCACTTGCCTGATGAAAGCTTGCCTGTAATATGAGTCAACCACACTCAAATGCTTGTTTAAATCGATGTTGATTTTTTCAAGAATATATATTTTTGAAAATATGTATTAATCTTACTGTCTTGTAAGGAGGAAAAGGCTCCATAATAAAATTTGTAGGTTATTTTTAACTAAAGGAATGTACAGGCAAGGATAATCATGATTTTAAATTACTAAAAAGAATGATCAGATTTAGTAAACTTAAGTAAGTTTAAAATGTCCCCCCCCAAAAAAAATCTTAACATGACATTAAGATGATAATCAAAAGAAAATCATTTTGAAAGACTACTTTAATCTCTTTTGTATTTATTTCTTCACAAGCCAAAAGCAAGTGTAGAATGTCAGGTCCGAGTCGTGTGCCTCTTATAGATTGGTAATCACGTAGTCAGCTAGTTTAAATTAAATTCATCATACATTTGGAGCATAACCCTGGTTACTTGGTAGAAGAAAGTAGGAGGATCACTTGAGACAGGGAGTTCAAGGCCAACCTAGACACCAAAGTTGAAAGCTTGTTTTAAAAGGAAAAAGCAAAACACAATGTATTCTCCCTGCCTTCAAAATACCAAAAGACACTCTATATCTTCAGTGTTATATACATTTAAATATTTCAGAATTAATTTTTTTCTAAATGTTTTCTTATTTAAAAAGTATTTTTTGCTTGTGTACATAGTGCCCAAGCAGTAAATCCTTGTAAACAGTAAGCATTCATTCACAGAGTACAGTGAGTAGGACTGAGAAAAATAAACTGCTTTTAAAATGTAAAATGTCCTAATAAATGTAATGTTTGTACGTAGAATAAAGGAAATAAATATACATGACACAATTATAGAACAAAATGAGTTCTACAATGGCAACATTTTTGAAACAAATATTAGTTCCATGGTTGCCCAGGGGTTGGGGACAGCAGGAAGTGGTCATGATTGTAAGAGGACAATTCGAGGGCTGGCATGATGGCTCAGTGGGTGAAGGTCCTTGACAAGCCTGACAACCTGGGATCAATCCCCAGGACCCATGAGGTGAGCCATGAGGTGGAAGGAGAGCCCTGGCCTCCCAAGCTGTCCTCTGACTGCCACCAGGCACCATGGTATTTGCACACACTAATTCCTCTAGTTTGTAATAGTCAAAGTATCCTGACTATCACAGAGGATCTTGAAGCAAAAGTTTATAGAGTAAAACAAGAGAAACAAACTGGGAAGATGTGAATTGGGATCCAGGAATTTCTGTGTCAGCACATGTGCTGAAGTTCTGAAAAAATGTCCCAGAAGGGCGCTAGATAGGAGGACTGCATTATTCCCTGCGACTGCACCAATATCACAGATGTTTAAAGACTTTTTAAAAACATAGTTTCTTCATTATAAATGGCTCCCTGTCTCAACCACAAACAGCAAACTCCAGTGAGGAGAGAAAGTATCTGATAAATAGATGTTTCCTCAAAGAAACCCAGAGCAAACACTGTCTAAATGCTGTGGCCATGACGACGTGTTCTTAATTTATTTTTAATGATGTGTTCATTTAAACTAGTGTTAAAGATCTCATCTTATAAACTAGGGATTTCTTGAGACCTAGTGAGCAAAATCTAGATTACAGTTCAGTCAGTGGGTCCTGTAGAAAGTTGTCATCTGAGCAAGGCTGGTGCTTGAACTCTCAGCAGCTGTGTGGTTACCAGCAGGAACTCTCTCAATCTCTCTCTCTCTCTCTCTCTCTCTCTCTCTCTCTCTCTCTCTCTCTCTCTCTCACACACACACACACACACACACACACACACACACACACACACGGGGTGGGAAAAGATAAAGACTGCAGAAGGAGGCGTTTATGAAGTCCAAACCCTCTTCCAGGACGTCTAAGTAGTTAAGGTCGCTGAGGAAGAAACGGATTTTCAGTGGTAGCTGCTGGTGAGCTGGTTGCACTTAATAAAGCTTAGTAAAAACTCACTGGTTCTTCAAGTTCGGCTAGGATGGAATTCTTTCTGTGGTCTGTCCTTGTTGCCCCATGGCGGGGGGGGGGGGGATAACTGTCTCTTCAGAAAAAACACACAGAGAGAAAGAGTGAGAGCAGAGGACTAGTTTCGCCAAAAATGAACTCTCCTCTCTCCCCCTCCTCTCTTTCAGACTTCAGACTAAGAGGTGAAAAGGGTTGCTTCGTAGAGTTCACAAAGCCAGGTCCTTACCGACTTCGAATCTCTTGGGAAAGATTCAAGCCTACTACACTGCTCCTCTTCCACTAATGTCGGGAGGAGAGCTGCGAAAGCAGCCTGAAATTTCTCCGCTTCTAGGAGAGGAATGTGATCAAAGAGTGGCAAGAAAGGGCGTCGGGATAAATGGGTCTGGTTAGGGTAGATTCCTATCCGGGAAAATGAATTCCAGGCAGTTCACATGGCTGACCGATTGTAACGAAGATGGAAATGATCCCTGGCCTCCGCCATCCTCTGCTTCACCCTCAGAGGATGTTCCCTCAGAGAGGAAAGGGTCCGGAGGAACGTCGCCTCACTTAAGCCCATTCCCAAGCCTCCCAGAAGTTGAACTGGTAAGGGGACGAGGAAGTGAGGCTGACAGCGGAGCGAGAAGGCGACCGTGGACCAGGTGAGGCTGGCGCTAGGTGGTGGGAGGACGAGGATGGATGCAGGATGAGGTGTGGGGCCAGGGTGCCGGGCGTGGTTCAGGCTCACCCGCATTCTGCAGTGTCTCGATGTTCTGAGGTCTGGTCGCCTGCTCTGCCACCATCTGTACGAACCGGGTCCGGGCATTCTGGTACATCTCGAACACTGGGGAGAGAGGCAAGGTGGAGCAACCGCGCCCCCCCCCCCCCCGGCGCCATCCCGTCGGGGCAACCGCCCACAGCTCCCTACCTTGCAGCACCTGGCGCTGGCTCATGGCGCCGCGCGTGGGGTTCACACTCCGCGCAACCCTTTGGCCTCTGGCGGACTGCTTCTGTGTACCCAAGCTCCGGGGTAACCGACCGGAACCGGAACGCAGACGTCCCTTGGCAACGGTAGGGCCCGGGCGTGACGTCACAACCATGATCGAAGGAAGGCAGAGGGAAGCCCTGGTACCCGCGGACTCACGTCGCGTTCCGTCTGGTGTCACTTCCCTGCTGACTGGGCACGGGGCGCAGGCGTCCGCCTAGAGGACGCCGACGGCACCGACGCACCGAGAGCCGCAGGGTCCCCGACTGCACCCGGGGCCGGGACCTGGGGAATGGCCTCTCCGGGCCCGATGTCGGTTCCGACAGATACGAGTCATCGGATCAATACAACAGTGGCTGCACAACCTCAAGTTACTCTGTGTTCCTCCTCCTGGCTCTCTTACCTACCTGACACTTCAGATTCCCGAATTCCTGGAGGGTCACAGCAACTGTGTGCATACACTAAAATACAATATAGTAACAGCAATAAGGACACCTAGAGGGTCTATGGAAAACAGAGGAGAGGGAAATGATAAATATCCTATCCTGCAGGTTTTCTAAGTACTATCAAGTTTGCTGTCTCCTTATTTCAGTATGATTTTTAAAAAGAATTTCTTTTCAATTCTGGCGTCATTTCGCAGCTGAGTGACATTTCCAAAAGAATCTTTACTGGAAAGACTACCTTACATACCTGAGTTCCTCGGCCTTACTTTTTACTATCATTAGTTCTAGCTACTCCTTGAGAATTCTGCCCCAAATGTTTCAGTGACAGGTGTCACTTTAAATATTTCTCTCCCCCCCCCCAAACTACCATTTCACCAGGTGTCAAGTGGGCAGCGAGCCCCAGCTGTTGCCTAAAGGTAGCAAACCGGAAATCCTTGATGTCTCCTCCTCACCAGGAGGAAGCACACACATCTCTGGCTTTCTCATTTGGAATCTTCCACAGTCACTTTTAAAATCTCCTCTGAAGGAGTCTCGGTATCCTGTGAAATTCCCAGCGGGCTGGGAAATGGCCTACCTACCTGCGAAAGAAAGAAGTGTGTGGAGTCTTAAACTTCAGTCCAGGGCAGGTACAGCCTTTGCTTCTTCCAGTTCAGAAGGCAGCCACACCGTCCTTCCCCTTAACTCTAAAGCTAAGTCTCGCAGTGGTCTTCTACATTCTTCCCAAAGGGCCTTTAAGGTAGAAGTGTCTGTTCCCACATGGAGATGTAGAGGAAACCCTGAGTGAATAATTCAAATTGCTAGTGAAATGTCCTAGTTTCATTTTTTCAGTTCCCTGTTGCATTTTGAAGAATAAAAAAAAGTCCCTTAAAACTAAAAGGCTTCAGTCTTTAAACAATTCAAACTCCTAAATTGCCTCGCCTTCCACTTTTAGTAGGTGCTTTGCTATGTATTTCTATCTTAACATGGTTAAGAGCTCAGTAACCTACTCATGGGATGCTACACAGTTTGCAAAGTTAAGCAGAAAGGGTGCTTTAAACTAGGAGGCTTGTGTATGGCATGAACAATGCCCATGAATAGAATTTATTGTCCTAATGAAACACAGTATAGGATGCCTATTTCATATCTGAAGTTAGATGTATTGATGAAGTTTCATCTTTTTTATTTAGTATTTTTCCCTAATGTCATTAAAATTCAGTGAAGAAATGTAACATAATGATCTAATATACCCATAAGTGAAATTGTTGGTAATTTAAATATCAAATATAATGAAGAGATTACTGCAATTAAAAAGAAAGCCACTCTATATTTTTCTGACCCATTTTTAAGTTATTAACTTTAAAACAAAATACTTCTCTGATTTACATAATTAAAGGAATGTCCCATGATCACATATAACCCTTTAGACTATTGGTAAAGTGAAGAACTACTCAAAATGTTACAAACTAAGGTTCTTATTATTAAAGCACCAGCTGCATTTATAGGTATAGCATGTGCTTGTCAAATAAAACTATGCGTTTGACTGGGAATGAAATAGTAACTTGAAAACTGTTTCAATGAAGTTTGGAAGCTTTTGCCTCCTTTTGGAAAAAGCTAATTATACAATTTCAAAATCATTATTTAGTTATTTATAAAAATGAGGCTTAAAACCAGTTTTAAAATCTTGTTCCGTTTCTCTTTACAAATCTCCTCTGAGAATCCACAAAACTCTGTTGTGGGACTGTAAGCTACTCAAGCATACAGCTTTGTTAATTTTAACACGGCTGCTTTCCAGTTCCTAGCTGAATCTGAAAAGGTAAAGTCCTCTCTATACTAATCATACACTAACTTCCACCTTTTTAGAAACCTGTTGAGGTCTCTGGAGTGTCCAGCTGTTCCTCTCTTAAGCCTAACACATACAATATCACTATGTGTGTTGGGCACTCTGCTCTTAAGAGAATGTGCCTGTCTGTCAGGGCATAAAGTCTAGTAAGAGAAATTAATTCATTCTTCATATAATGCAATCTCTATTAATCCAACAGTGTATGCCTATCACTGATTTCAGGTGTAAAGTCACCCCAAATACTGTGTTTTGAGAGCAAAGATGAGAGGGTTTGAGTCATGTCGGGAATGGCAAACTATCTGGGACATTTAGAGAAGGAAAAACTTCTTGTTAACAGGTTATTAAACTTGTTAGCAGAATATTATCTGGTCTATATAGACATAAAATCTTTTCAATTCAAACATGTTAGTAGTTTTCAAAGGTATTCAATTAGTAATTGGATGTCATTTGTCAACTTGTGAGATTTCAACAATCCTTTTTGCCAACATCCAGTTTAAAATCACTGAAGTAGCTTTATATTTCCACACTTTAAGATAGAAGTGCTGTATTTTCCAGCGCCAAATCGGTGGGCTCAGATGTTATTTATCATGAAGAAAGCAAACAGACTACCCAAGTTAAGGTACAACCCTTGTTTGAAGCATAAGCATCAGGATCCTGCATTGGGGTCTGAGCTAACCACCCAGTGTACCAGCAAATTTGCCAGCAGAGCAAAAGAGCCATGGATACCTCCCTATGAATAGAAAGACTGACATTTCTATGTAAGTGTGGTGGTGTGTCTTACTTGTATTTGCCTTTTGCTTCTCACTTCTTTTACAGTCAGCCTCCTATGTCCTAAGGCTCTGTGGCTTTTCAGGCCAGCAGTGTCAAGATGACAGTGATTATCCCACAGACCTAGATACACCTAGACATGGCTTCTTTGGAAGTGTCTCAGGGGATGCAGACTCCCCCAAAAAAGCTATGATTAGGGCAATGACTTCATTTCCCCCACCCTACCCCAAAATAGCGGTGATTACTAAAAATCTAGGTTTTAAAAGTAGAAGTCAAACAGTGTAATATGTTTCATGCTGTAACATGCAGAGCAAACACAAATTATTGCTGCGTCGTATGTGCATGTATGCATCTTACTTACACAACCTTTCTTAATTAAAAGTTGCTCCAAAGCCAGCATGACTACAAAAAAAAACTCTGGAGTACTTTGCATTTAAGATTATCCACCACCATCTCGAGAACCCCTAAGTCTCACAAATTATATTGTTGAGCTTTTCTTAGAAATCATGTGGGGTTTTGCGCTCCCGTGCTTAAAAATTCCTATTATTATTATTATTATTATTATTATTAATTACTGTACAAAACACAAGAGACAATGCTGGAAGGTGCTTCGCTGGAAACGACCCCCGGCGTCAAGGACGGAGCACAGGAGCACACGCACGGCTCAGGTGCTAGTCCCCTAAGTTAGGCAGTGGTCTAGACCCGAGAAGGGGGTCCGCTGGAGGATCATTCCTTTCCCCTGGTGTGCTTGGGTCCCCGAAACGAGGGGCCTGCCTCCGACAGGCCACGGCGTGCCGCGCTGGGCCGAGGGCAAGGCCCCGGCCTCCTTTATCCCGAAAGTTTAGCCCGAAGTTTCTCGAGCTTCCAGGAGCATCTTCCAGACCTCAGGTCTAGAAGAGACCAGCAGCGTGGGGACTGGCGGCAAAATCGGTGAGACAACCCTGAGGCCACGGGGACGGGGACGCGCGGGCAGCAGGGCGGTGAGCGCGCGGGGCCCAGGAGGGGAGGGCGCGCCAGCGCTGTGCGGAAGCGCCTTGCCGCGCACCCGGCCTCGCCCCGCGGCCTCGGGGCCGGCTCCCCACTCTGCCCTCCGGCGGCGCTCGGGCCTGGGAGCCGGCGGGGCTGAACTAGGCAAGGCCTCCCTCCTTCCGCTGGGGCTCTGCGGCCCGGCCTCCCGCGCAGGAGCCACTCCTCGAGCCTCCCCGCGGCGCGCCCGGCCAGAGCGCGGCCACGACGCGGGCCAGGCCTCCGCCGAGCCAGCCCGGAGCCCAGCGGCCAGGCTGCAGCCCGGGCACAGCCCGGGCGCGAGAAACGCCCCGCCGCGGCTAGGCTGGACTTGCCGGGCCGGCCTCCTCCCGGACGCTCCCGAGCAGCTCGGGGAGAGTGGGGAAGGGCACGGGAACTGGGCTGTGAGAGAGCCCTGCGAGGTCCCCCCAACAGCCAGCTCCCTCAGAGCCCGGGAGATCGCGGGGTCCCAGAGGCTGGGGCAGAACACAGCTGCTTATTTAGCCAAAAGGCGGAGGAGAGGGGTGGCGGAGCAGCTGCACCTCACTGCGCATGTGCGAGGTTTCCAAAAAAAAAAAAATTTTTTTTTAACTTTTGCCGTTCTAAGTAGTCCCAAGCCAAAATGTCTTGTGCAGTGATTATTTCAGAAACTACTTAGCTATGTGCGCTGACTCCTGAAAGTCACTGCAAAAATACAGAAAAGGTTTGCGAGGTTTCTGAAACCTTTGAAGTAAAAATAGCGTCACTTGTTTATCAACTCTTCAGGTCCGTTCCTCTAAGAGAAATGGGCAGAGTGGACAGCGAACATCGCTGAAAACTAGAGTGAATTCAAGGACCCCCGGAGCACTACATATTATTCCTACAGAGGACATGCTTGCGCTATCATGAATTATTGTTTCAGAAGTAAGATGAATATTCTAAACTGAATTATTTAAATTTACTTCTTATTCCACTATTAACCCATATTTAATTTTATACTGAAAAGCAATGTCACACAAATAGCACAAAAGATAGTTCCCATAAAGAAAATATGATTACCTTTCCCATTGATGAGAAAAACGTAGTCTTAACTGTAAAGGAATGCTTTTCTGTTTTGGAAGCCTTGTTCTCAGGGTGAAACAATATGGAACTGCTTATCGTTTTATTTACAAAGCAAGGGTAAAAAGTTTCCAAATAATTTCAGCATTTTTATGGACATATCCCAGAGAGAAACAGCTGCTGGAATCTTGGTGTTATCAAGGATGTGTGATGCCCAGCATGGAGAGACTTCTAACACAACAGGATAGAAAGCATTGGGTTTTTATTTTAATGTGGCGCTCCTGTGATGTTACAAATGGAGGGCAGAAGCTCCAGAAGAGAGGCACTGGCACCACTGCGTCTGGGAAGGGTACTCCAGACCCATGGCAGACCAAGATAACACAGTAAACTTGAAGCTCTATTTCCACCTTTGAGTTCAGAAAGACTACATGTACTATGCTAAAGTTCCTGAAAATGCGTTTCCCGAAGCCTAGTTTAAAGGTCGCCCAGATTATCCAGTGTGGGGTTACTTTATGGCAATGGATTTCCTACAAATGTGTTCTCCAAAGAGGTGGAGGCACACTAACAAATGAAGTTTTGGATCAGAATGATCATTTGGTAAAAACCAAGCAGGTTCCATTGAATCTGGTAGCCTCTTTCTCCTCAGGAAGGGAAAAGAAAAAGAAAAAAAAAAAAGATGAGTTTGAAGAAAACCCAACTGAAAATACTTTAATTGTCGCAAGGAGTAGATGGAAACAGCTGGTAAACACATTTCTCAAGCTTCCCTGACCGAGTTCTTCAGTTACAGTGGGGAACAAACTGTAATGGATCATGTTCAAAGCAAAAGTCACTCCTCCCATGAGCTAATTACTGATAACACTAATTTGTCAGTGATTCCTGAACAGCTAAAAGTGTATCGATGCATCTTCCCATCGTGACACGTTCCTGGACAGTTGGGAACTGTGCTTGCTGAACATAGGAGTTTTGTTAAGGAAGCTGGAAGGAAATCAAAATCTGAGTGGCAAGAGTCTATAGAAACGTAACTGCTCCAGTTTTTTCTTTCTTTCTTTTTCTTTTCTGAGAGTCGTTTGTACATGCATGATGCAAATGGCATGGTTTATCATACCTAATTGGTTGGTTTTTGAGTTCTCATACAAGTTCTACAGCCTTAAGGGTGTAACCTCAAGAGCAGCAGTGTTCCAGGTTTTCAGTTTAAATAAAACAATAAAATCCATCATTATTCAAGTCAAAAACAAGAATTCACATGAATATGAAAGCACTTTGATCTTATCCTTCGGTTCACTGAAGGAGGCAGTTGTAATGAAAAGAGGAGATAATCTGTCTAAGTTGGCCAAAGGAAGTTGTTGGCACTTTCCTTTCTTGAAAGAGGGTAGGAAGAAACGTCCCCACAGCCTCACCCTCCTGTTTTTAAGGCGCTAGCTGAGTGGCCGGTGAAATACAGGGTCAGGCTGCCTCTAGGAACCAGGAGGTGACACTTCTTTTTAGAAGTAAACTATCTTAA